TTCTTGCCTGGAGATCTTTTTTCCTTCCAGGCTTTATATATGTCATCCCATTGCCTTCTTGCCTGCATGGTTTCTGCTGAGTAGTCTGAGCTTAGTCTTATTGACTCTCTTTTGTAGATGACTTTTCGTTTATCCCTAGCTGCTCTTAAAATTCTCTCTTTGTCTTTAGTTTTGGCAAGCTTGATTATAATATGTCTTGGTGACTTTCTTTTGGGATCTACCTTGTGTGAGGTTCGATGAGTATCTTGGATAGATATCTTCTCATCTTTAACGATATAGGGAAGTTTTCTGCCAACAAATCTTCAAGAATTCTCTCTGTATTTTCTGTTATTCCCCCCTCCCAGTTCTGGTACTCCAGTCACTTGTAGGTTATTCCTCTTGATAGAGTCCCACATAATTCTTAGAGTTTCCTCATTTTTTAAAAAATTCTTTCACCTGATTTTTCCTCAAATAAGTTGGTGTCAAGTGCTTTATCTTCAGTCTTACTAATTCTGACCTCCATTGCCTCAGTTTTGCTCTTGTGACTTTCAATTGAATTGTCTAATTCTCAAATTTTATTGTTAATCTTCTGGATTTCTGTTTACTGTCTGTCTATGGATTCTTGCAGCCTGTTAAATTTGTCATTATGCTCTTCTGTAATCTTAATTTTCTGTATTGCTTTGTCTGTGTGTTCCTTGGCTTGTTCCGCATTTTGGCTGATCTCCTTCCTGATATCTTGAAGCGTTCTGTATATTAATCTTTTGTATTCTACCTCAGGTAATTCTAAGAAATTCTCTTCCTCCAGAAGATTTCTTGATTCTTTGTTTTGGGAGCTTGCTGCAGCCATCATGGTCTGCCTCATGTGATTTTACATTGACTGTTGTCTCTGAGCCATCAGTAAGTTATTATATTTATTTATTTATTATTTTGTTTTGTTATACCCAAATACGCTGCTTGTTTGAGCTAGTTTGATTATTGGTGCGTTTAAAGCCCTAACATCTTGTCACCAGGTGGTTAGATATGTTACTAGGTATGTGAGCCCAGGAGTCCATTTACTTTTCTTGTATGGATTCAGCTCATGTGTCCAGGTAGTTGGTCACTAAGTGTGTGGTGCAGGCTCTCACCTACAGTCCTAGATGGGCAGGGATGATTGGAGTAGGCACAGGTATCTGGCTGCATTAGGGGGCCATGTGCTGAGCAAGGCAGGGGACTGACGGCTGCCCCTGAGTGTCTGGGAGGAAAGCATGTCCCTGTTCCCTAGAGTGTGTAGGTGGGTGGGTTTTACATCTGGACTATGGGTATCCAATGCTGTTGGCTGTAAGGACTGAGAGGCGCCACTTATTCTTGGACCCCTGTCACAAGTGGCTAGGTGGCATGGGTGGAGACACCAGTCCTCAGGCCCCTGATGTAGGTAGGTGAGAACCCTGCTTAACGGGCAGAGCGGTGTCAAATGTCACGAACCTGCCACTCCATCATATAGCTGATACAGTTGAATTTAGGTTTCAGGTATATACTCTGTTGTATTGTGCTAGATGGCCTATGCTGTTGAAATGGTCCCACACGTGTATACGCAGGGGTGAAAGGCATTCAAAGTCTGTGGACCCCTTCTGCTTTTGTGTAGGCAAAGGAGCTGTGCCTGTCCTGAATTCCGGGCTTGGGAGCTAGCAGATTATTTTTTTTCTTGTTTGTTATCCCCCTCTCCAAGACTGGGATAATGGCTCAGGGTGTGTGATGAGTCCTACTTCCAGCCCAGGGGATCCAGCAGTTGCTGAAGCCAGCTGGGGACCTGGTGCAGAGTGGGGAAGAGGCAGGTAAATGGGAGAGAGGTTCTTCCCAAAAAGGGTGTTTTTTGATCCATGCGATGGATTAGATGCATGTACTTATCTTTTGCCAATTGAGCGTCGCTTTCTCTGGTTCTGGAGGGTTGAGCTGACTCTCCACTGCTGCTTGTCTCTCCCGATGTGGAAAATGCGTCCTGAGCACCACTGCTTGCCTCACTGTGCACGCCATCCCATCCAGCCTATAAGGTGCCAGTTCCCGCTGGGTCAGGTCTGGCAACACCTTGCTGCTTCCAAACTATGTCTCCCTCCCCCTGCCACTCAGTCTGATTCCTCAACTTTACCTTTGATCTTCAGGGCTCCTAAATTGTCATATATAATCGATTCACTTGTTTTTTTGGGTCTTCGTTGTAAGAGGGACCACAGGAAGCGTCTGACTACTCCGCCATCTTGTCCCTGCTCTTGAAAAAATTTCATTTCTGAAAAGAAATGCTTCAACTTGAGGAAGCAGAAAATCTCATTGTTTATGTTCACCTGTACTATGAAGAAAATATTTTCTCTGGGTTCCAAACATGATCACTTTGGAAACATACTAGCATGTTTCAGATATGTATGAAAAAAGGTAATCTCTCTGAAACAACCAGTATTTTAAAAATGATACGTGAAGTAAATATTTAGAGAGAATTCCAGTTTTAGATGTTGGCCATTTTATGTAAATGATCCACTTTTTTTTCCTTCTGGGAGAAATTTCAAGTTTTTTAAATAAACACTTTTATATTATTATAAACCACATTAATCAAATATGGAAAAGCGTTTGCTGACTGCTGAAGTCACCTGCTGAAATTTAATGACTATTACTATTGATGTTTTGAAGATCTAAGCAAAGGAAGAGCTGTGATGCCAAGGCAGGTTGAGGGCTGCAGAGATGGTCTGATTCTCTCTGCCCTGTCAAGAGGTGGGGAAGGTGCTGCTCCCCCACACCTCCCATATTTCAGAGCATCTCATTCCCTCCTTCAGGCACCTGACTCTGTTGCTTACTCCAAAAATATACGTGGACAGATGACTGAGCTGGTGATCTTAGTAGATGCCATTGAATTATTCCCTCACTTCATTCCCAGATTCCCACCTAGTGACTCACCTTTCAGCCTAGATGGGAGCTCTGTTCCTATACTGGAAACCAGAACAGGGTCCCTTCTACACTGCTGTGGTGGAGGATTCCAAGAAGCCTGGTGAAGAAGTCCTGCCTGCTTTCTGCCCTTATTCACAGTGCCCAATGGAAGTCTCCCTGGACCTTTTCTACTATCTTGCACCTCACCCCTGACCTTCTCACATCCGTGGCACATAGGAAGAGCTTAGTCTTGCTGATGGGTCACTGTCTGACAGTCCAAAATCACCCTGGTGCCCCCTCACTTATATCCCATCATTTATGCTAGGAACCTCTGTGAAGAGCATCCTGAGTAATCTTAGCATAGGTGTTGTCAGCTCAGAAGTCTGTGGGAGCTCTTAAAATGTATTGAAAATTATCTGCATGTGTGTGGGGAGCAGTGGTATATTTTCATGTTTGTGAGGAGAGGGGTCATATTTCTTATCCTCTGACCTCCAAGAGATATATATGTATGTATATATAAATCCAGGTACATTGCCATCAAGTAGATTCCTACTCATAATGACCCTGTAGGACAGAGTAGAACTGCCCCATAGGATTTCCATTGGAGGAGAGCGGGCATGATGGGACCTCCAGGAGCTGGTTCAAGGTCACAGTGAGTGTCCTGGCAAAATTCACTAATATGCAGGAGACACAGGTTGGGTGGAGCTGTGCCGATCTCCTGGAGACACTAGGTACTTTGCTGGGGCACAGGGAGTTGGTAATTTCTCCTTTTTCTTACTAGGTGTAAACAGCCTCCATTGGTCTTAAGGTAGGCTGGGAGAAGTAATAAAAAGAGAACAGGCTGAAGGCGGGGAGAATGGAAGTTTGTCTAAAGGCAAAGGTGGGAACTGCTCACAAGGAGATGGAGCAACTCCCCACCGCATGGCTCAGTTTGGCTCAAACTTAGGGGTTGGAGGAGGGGACAGGGATGTGGTCGAGTCTCTGGAGTCCTTGTCAGAGGGGCAGGCTGGATCTGCATTAAGTAGAATCTCCTGGAACCTTATAAAGGGAAGATCATGTTAAAGATCCTAAGTTGATTATTTGGAGGAAGATGTTTGAATGGAAAGAAAGGGTATTTAGCAAACCCACGTTTGGTACAAAAGTTAGAAATAATGGACACTGACCTATGTTTAGAAATTATTTTTAAGCTTGGTAAAAGATCTGAAAGGAACACATGGTTGGCACTCTCTTTAAGCTTTATTTCCATCATGTCAATCTCCTCTCCCATTCTTTCCTTTGATCCTAGTTTCCATTTGATATAAAATAGGATGAGAAGTTGCTGCTGAATTTGATCCAGAGCCAATGTAGTGTCCCCTTCAACCTGATCAAGGTAAGAGAGGACAGGGAGGCAGCTGAGTAGGCCCAGGGCGGGTGGAGGGGCCAGGCTGAGTAGGAACTCTGGCCTCATATTGTATTTCTCTTGCCCTTCCACCTGAAGTTTCACTATGAGAAAATGCAGGTCCAGTTCTTTGGCGAGAATGCCAGCATTGCCTTCGAGTTGAAGAACGTCCGCAACAAGATTTGGGATGAAGAAAACGATAGTGTGTGTGTCAGGACATGGTCAAGGCTAGCTAGGGGCAGGAGGGCGGGCTGGTGGATGGGTTTTGCTTGATCTTGGGTTTCAGAGTTCCTGGTACTTACCCAAACTCTCTTATCTATCTTCTCTGCAGATATCTATCTTTGTCAGCCCCGCTACTGTACCCAACTCTGTGCAGATGGAGCTAAAGTCAACAAAAGAGAAACTCATAAAGGTAATGCAGACTCAAGACATGTGCACCCACACCCAGACCCACCGCTTTTTCCCTCACCAATTTCCACCTCCACCACCTTGATTTCAGAGCCACTGCCCTCCGTCTCTGTCTCTGCAGAAGACCAAGAACAAAGGATATGAATTCCCCCAACAAGTTTTGACCTCCAGAGACTCCATTCAGACCCAGGTATGACTGACAGCAGTAATTCTAGGGCAGGTGCAGGCAGAGGACCCTTTCTGGGAGGGAGTGTTAGAGGACAACTTCGGGAGGTGTTGGTGCTGGGGCTGGTCCAGCCGGGTCCCTCTCATCCTTCTGATTCCCTCCTCTTGGCTTCCTGAAGATACGATGACCCATGATATTGAAATGGGGTCAAATCTTAGAAACTGCATGGCTGCCTCCCTGCATATCCATGAAGAGAACATGCCAAAGGTGAGGCCTTAGACCCAGTGCTGAGGGGGAGGGTGGGACAGTTGGGATAGAGGGCACATTTGTCCCAGATATCAACTTTTGGACCTTCAGTGTAGTTCTTCCCTCATCACAGCTTTTGTCCTTCAACTCGAGCAACAACACACCCTACCAGCTGGTTGGCCTGCCCGACACCATGTGGAGGCCCCCATCATTAAGAGCCTGAACCTCTCCAAAAATGAGTTGAGAAGTCATAGCCAGAGTGATTTGCACTGAAGGTGGTCAGGCTCATTAGGGTGATGAAAAGAGGTAAGCAAGGTGATTTGTGGGGGAGGGTTGTTCTGAGGTGCAGGGCCTTACTGGCTGTCTCCCTGACTCATGTTTCCTTGTCATAATTACAGATGAAGTCTGAAGGGGAGTTGGACAAGGTGAAGGGGCTGGAGCCAGAAGAGATGTGTGAGGACAGAAACCCTCTGTGCACCAACCTCCCAGATAAGTCCACCAACATAAAGGTCAGTTGTGCCCTCTGTTGCCCCCTGGCAGCCTGAGCTGCCCCTGACAGTGCCCGTCTGCAGGAGGCTGCAGTCCCGGTCCTCTGGGAGGACCATGTGCCCTGCCCTCTCCTCTCTGTCTCTCACCTGTGCTTAGAGGTCTCCCTGCCTTCCTCTGGTCTGCTCACTGCTCCCCAGGGGCTGGGGCCTGTTTCCCGCATCTGTGCACCCAGCCAACTCTGGCATAGCCTCCTCGAATGTGCTTCAGGAAGCAGGGCTCCCCCTTCCTCCCAAGGACCAGGGGTGTCCAGACTGTGCTCTGCTCCCCCACTGGCGCTGCCTTGAGCCAGATCCTGGTGCCTGGGACTGTGAAGGTTTCTCCTGACCAGGGCCTCCTGCTGAGACAGGCCTTCCTGCCTGAGCTGAGATGGGACTTCCCTCCCAGTCCTGTGATGGGCCCTCTCCTTCTTGCTCCGAAAGGGTCCCCTGACCGGCATTGGTGCTTTCCTGCCCCATGCTGTGGGTCAAGTCCCAGGGGCAGCTGTATCATGACATCTGTTCCTCTGGCCCAGTGAAGGAGCTGGGCCCTCCTGGGGGAGAAACCTGGGTTCCCTGAGTCGGAAGCAGGTTACCTGAACCTTTACTCCTTGAGAAGGCCTCCTGCCCCACTGGCTGCTCTGTTTCCCATGCCCAGCTCATATGGCATCGCACAGGTGACGAAGGCCAATGGGCCCCACCCCAACAAGTACCAGTTTTCCATTCCTACCTAAGCCCCAGGGCCAGCCAGGGGCAGATGAAGGACAGGGCAGCAGCAGGGGAGCCATTTCCCCTTTCTTCCCTCCTTTCTCCCTAATAACCACCACCCACATAAACTTCTTCCGCTAGCCTTTCCTTGGCTTTCTCTTTCTCTTTAGTCTCCACTCCCCTCTGTATCCCCTCCCTACCTGCACTCCCTTTCTGCCCTTATCCCCTCCCTGCCTCCTGAGTCTGCCTCACTCATCTTCCTCCCTGGCATCTGGAGCCATCCCTGGGATTGTCCTGGTCTTGTCCAGGGCCAGGCCTGGGAGAGTACTGGGAACCTGGTGAGGGAGCAGAGCCCTGGGACCCACCCCATTCCCTCCTCCCTCCAGAGCCTTCCCTGGGGACTTGGAGGGAGGTAAGTGAGGCAAGGAGGGGAAGGAATCCCTGGAGCCTGGGCTCCACATGTTACTTCTGTGTCACTGGAGAAGGGGGTGAGGGCCTTCCTGTGGGAGCTTCCCAGGAGGAAGGAGAGGGGGAGAGAGGTATTGAGAGAGCGCCCACTAGGTCTCTCTCTGGGTGAGTCCATGGGGGAGGTGCCCAAAGTCCTGGAGGGGTGGTGGCACTGGAGTACAGGTGGGACACAACTGGCTGTGTTCCTGCGTAGGAGTGCTTGGTTCCATGAGGCTGGCCAGCTCTGTCGTTACTCGCTTTTCTGTTCTGTCTTGATAATTGACAGCTCCATCCTGGAATTGTTCCCCAAGTTATTATGCCTGGTAAGTGTCTTCCTTTATCCCTGACTCCTCTCGCTGGTACAAACAGCGCTCGCAACCTCCCCTGAATCCCTTAGATCTTGCCCAGGTTAGATTTTAGGATCCAGCCCCTAATCCTCATGGGGGAACAGACCCATGAGGGACTCTGACAGAGGCTACAGACCTTCTCCACAGCTCTCCACCAGCTTCTGGGATCCCCTGGTGAAGACCCCATGATAGTCTTGCTCATGAAATTTCCAAGGCCCTTTTACTCTGACCTCTGACCCTCCCTCTCACCTGGGTCCGTCCTCCTTGACCATTCAGTTACACCCCCCTGGTCTGCACTGCTGGCATCCTCTTCCCTCCCCCAGGAGGACCATGAGGCACCCCTACCCATTATCTTTGGCATTGAAGCCTACAAGAAGTTACCAGTCTGCAAGGTGAGGAGGTGGGATCACAGGGCTTGGGGTAGTGGGTGAGGAGGGGATAATAGCATAATGTTTTTGAGGTTTATCTGTTCTATAGCATCTATCAGTACTTCATTCCTTTTTATGGCTGGTAATATTCCATGGTATGGTATACACCACATTTTGTTTAACCATTCATCCATTGATGGACATTTGGGTTGTTTCCACATTTTTGCTATCATGAATAATACTGGGAAAAACAATGGTGTACAAGTTTTATGTGTACATGTGTTTTCATTTCTCCTAGATAAATATCTAAGAGTGGAATTGCTGTGTGATATTGCAACTTCACATTTAACCATTTGAGGAACTGCCCAACAGCTTCCCAAAGGGGCTGCACTATTTCACATGCTTTTGGGTTCTAATTACTCCACATCCTTGCCAACACTTGTTATTATCTGTCGTTTTGATTAGAGCCATCCTAGTGACTGTAAACTGGTATCTCATTGTGATTTTATCGTGGCAGTTCCCTGCAGTAGTATCATTTGCTTTCCCTGATAGCTAATGATACTGCGGCTCTGTTTGTGTGCTTATTGTCCATTTCTACATCTTTGGAGAAATGTCTGTTCACATCATTTGTTCATTTTTAAAATTGGATTATTCATTTTTTTAATTGAATATTAAGGGCTGTTTTTATATACTGATACAAGTCCCTTATCAGATAGATGATTTACAGGCATTTTTTTCCCATTGTGTTGGTTGAAATTTCACATCCTTAATGGTGTATTTAATACATATATATATATATATAAATATATGTGTGTGTCATATACACAAATATACCAGAATATATACTGGAGACAAATATACCAAAATGTCTACTAACAGTGAGGCCCAACTTAGAGAAAGCCCCTTTTTGCAAAAAATGAGTGATTTCAGCCAGGTAAAAGAAGAACCTGACCATAAGCATGCAGTCAGGTGTTCAGCATGATCAGTCTTTGTCAGCTAGGGCAGAAGTACCACAGAGGGTTTTAGCTTTAAGACCTAGAGCCAGGCCTCTTAGGAGAATCCAAATACAACCTTGCCTTCCATTCTGGGCATTGAATTGGGGTCTCTCTGTGCAGAGGCGTGTAAGGACGAGTGGTGTCAGTGATTTCCAGAACATTCCTCCCTGTCACATATTGGTGGAGGTGATGGGTTAGAACCTCAGCAGATGAATCTCATTGCTGCCATAAGATGAAAGCCAGATGCTGTGATGTAGTGCGCCTGAGCGAAGCTGAAAGTGGGCACAGGTGGACTGCGGTCACTATCCTGCTGGCCTCCTAGCCAAGCACTCAGGACTTACTCTCTCCGTCTGCCCATCAGTGTGTCAGTGTGTCTGTGCCCAAGGCCCTACGACTAGGAGAAGAGGTGGTATATAAAGAGAACCTCCATGCCACTTCAAGGGTGATGGTTCAGGCACAGAGAGCTTGGGGAAGACCAAATAGGAGGGGTCACCCTTCTAGAGATAAGACGGACACAAAACCAGGCCAGGAATCTCCCGTTATGACTTAGCAAAGGTCTAAAGGAGAGCGAGTTTGAAACTCCTCATTCCTGCCCTTGAGCATCAGGAAGAATCAAACCATCTCATCCTTCACTCCCACACATTAGCTGCATGACCCTGGGCAAGTTTCTTCGTGTCTCTGTGCCTTGGCTGTTGAGTTGAAAATGCAACATTTGATACAGTTTCTACAGAATGATCCTCCCTAGAATTAGAGAAATATATAAGGATGAAAAAAGACTGATAATTCTCTATTCTATATGCCATATGCATTTATTTAATAAACATTTAATGGAGTATCTATTATGTGCCAAGACCTGCAAGCATGTCTTCATCTCAGAACTTTCTCCTGGGTTTCAGACACATATATTCAACTACCCACCGGAAATGTGTATCTAGAGCAGTGGTTCTCAAATGGGGGAGATTTTGCACGCCACCTCAAGGGGACAATTGCAATGTCTGGAGACATTTTTAGTTGTCACAACTAGGAATGCTACTGGTATGTAGTGGGTAGAGGCTAGGGATGCTCGTAAATATGTTGCAATGCATTGGACAGCCCCCTACAACAAAGAGCTGTCTGGCCCAAAACGTCAATAGTGCCAAAGTTGAGAAATCCTTTTCTAGAGGAAGGTAAATGTTATAACACAGTTATTACCTGTGTGCACAGATTCAAGGTAGAACCCGATTTTGGAGTCTGACAACCTTGAGTTAGAATCACCATGCTGCCTTTTTCCAGGTATGCATCCTTGGAAAATGTATTTGACCTCTATGGCCTTAGTAGAGCATGCCTGGGGGAAGGAATGAATTATAACAGGGAATCCTGATACCTAGCTTAGAGAACAGTCCCAAGGTTAGTTTCCTTCCCTCCCCACTTCCTAGCTTCTGCTTTGGAGATGACTTTTATATAACCTACATGGTCCTAAACAGTGTAACTCTGCCCTAAAGAGCTTCTGGAAATGTAACAACAGGAAGGATAATAAACTCACATTGTGTATAACAGTCAGTGCTACTTCTGTGTGGCAGAGTTGTCTATTGCAGATGGGACAGGGGAAAAGTTATCACCCCATTTCCATAGAGTCAGTATGTCTTAGTTAGCCTTTCGGGGCCCCTCTTGGAGAGTTAACATCAGGTGTGACTGTGAAGTGGGTGTCTGGGTTGTTCTTGTGGCTGCCAGAGAAGCACAAAGCATGATGATGGGTCTTCTGGCGAGGACAATGGAGAGAAAGGAAGGAGATGTTGAACCTAGTGCCTGACCCACTACCTTTCTTCTATGTGATACTGGGTAAAACGCGTACCTGCTTGTGACTACTGACTCAATTTTAGGACCTGTGATTTGAGTTGATCTTCTAGCAGGTCAGTTTTGGGTATAAGTCATTTATCTTCCCTCTATTGAAGCACTCCTGTCATCATTTAAATGCTTATATTCTTATGGAGCCCTGGTGGCGTAGTGGTTAAGTGTTTGGCTGCTAACGAAAAGGTCAGCAGTTCAAATCGACCAGCTGCTCCTTGGAAACCCGATGGGGCAGTTGTACTCTGCCCTATAGGGTCACTATGAGTCGGACGTGACTTGATGGCAATGGGTTTGGTTTTTTCCCCCATTTACTTTCGTCCTGATTTTCTACCCCTTTTTGCCTTCTCATCTTCGCTTTTGGGAAAATATCACCCCTTTGGTGGGGTGCCTCTGAGAGCATCTGGGTGATGAGATCAGACCTGGGCAACTGTGTGCACAGTGAAGTAGAGAGAGGATGACCGAGAAGGGGGTGGGGAGTAGATGTGGGGAGTCATTACAATAACCATCCAGATATGAAATAAGGGGGTGGGGCTTACATTGCTGTCCCTTTCTGAGTGGCACTTGAAACATAGCGGACACATCACTAACCAAATAATCACGAGGTTTTTGCCTCTGTTATCCCAGCGCCTAGCACAACCTCTGATACTTAACAATACCCTGGAGAGGATTGAATGCCAGTGCCCAGGGTGATCAGATCATTTGCAGCAAGAGAGGCTTCAGGACACAACAGGTGAACGTATGAGTAATTCCAGGTTTAGCTCAGGAGCAGTTTACTAGGCTGTTCCTTTGATTTACTTAACCATCTCCTAACTCACATACCCTGATCTGAATATGGGGTTAATAACAGTTAACTTGAATACCTGTTAGGATTAAAGACGATAACATGTATAGTGCCTCTTGCTCATAGATGTTTTGTAAATGTTCATTTGCTTCCCTCTGGATCATCTTTCCAGAGAGGGCCACACTTGTGCTTCTGCCTGTGCCCTCACACCACCTCAGGGACCAGCTGATCCATCTGACTCCACAGCTAGGCCTCTTGGCCCAAGGGACAGGATTTCATCTCCACCATCATCTTCCTCAACAAGGGGGTTGTTGAGTGAATACTGTGGAAGTATGAAACTATCGTCTTCACAAAACAGGAAGTTCCTGGGTATGCTGTGGGGAGGGCAAGTGATGGAGCTTGAGTCTCTTTGAGCCTGAGCATGATCATCTGTAAAATAAGGCTCGTGACCCCTTCCACCCAGTGCTGTCTGGGGGTTAAGTAAGAAAAGCTGAGAAGTGCAAATGGCACATAGTAGGCCTTCAACAGATGTCAGTCCTGGTCCACCTACCTTCTCCCTCCCAGAGAGGAGAAGACTTTCATCTAAACCAAACAGCATGACTGCCACAGAGATCGTCTGCAAAGGTAGCAGCAAGAGGCGAAATATGTCCCCATAACCTATGAGCTTTGGTGTCAGCTCTGAGTTGTGGGATGCATTACTTGTGGGAGGTGGGGAAAGGGAAGAAAATCACTACAGCATTTTCTGCTAATGCATATGCTTCGCTGTCCTCTTAGTTTACCATCTAGTTTGATGCCGAAGCAGCAGTTTCCCATTAAATCTTAGGTAGAAGAGACAGAACAGAGTGGATGCTGGATAGAAGACTGGAATTCCTGACTAGAGAACCTTGGGTGGGTCACTTCCCTTGTGCTGGCCTCAGCCATAACACAATGATGCCGTATAACAGTGGCCTGGGCTTTGGGTCGGAAAACTCAGTCTAAACCTGAACATCATCAGTTGAAGGTTACATGACATTTTTTCGGGGGTCTGAAGCTCCATGTCTTAGGCAGAATTCTAAGATGAGCTCCCATGATCCTAGCCCTTATAGACCCCTTCCCCTGTGAGTGTGGGTGGAACCCGTGGCTATGATGATATTATCACTTCCCTAATTATGTTACACTATATGGCAAAGCAGAGATTAACCAGTTGGGCCTGACCTAATCAGGTGAGCCCTTTAAAAGCAGAGAGAGGTCTCTGGCTGTTCACAGGAGGGGAAGTCAGAGATTCAAAGCACAAGAAAGATTCAACGTACCTTTGCTGACTTGAAGATGGAAGTGTCTACGTGGCAAGGAATAGGAGCAGCCTCTAGGAGACGAAAGCATTCACCAGCTGACGGGACCGCAGTCCTACAGCCACAAGGAAATGAATTCTGCCAACAAGAATGATCTTGGT